AAGGGGATTCCTCAGCAATAAATGTCCTTAAGGAAACCATATGGGGGATGGAGTACATCTGGTGAGCACACAGTTCAAATAAACACACAGTTCAAATAAACACCAATAGGTTGCGAGCATGCTAGTGTTCCACTGGACTGTCTAGAATAGTCCGTGGTCGTCATCTATACTCCGCTAGATGACTGGATCATCAATAACATCTATAACGAGGCCTCTCATTATTTTATTTTGTCACACAACAACTATTACATCTACCCATGTTTTACCCAACACATTTTGTAGATATAAAATACATATATAGTTTAAATCATTGAAAACATGTATAAAACGTTCATCCAACATAGATAGGAAGTATTCAGATAATATGCACACATAGCACGTAATTTATATAAAATACTTCATATCTATGTGTAAGCTGAAAGTAACTATGCACTCACTTGATTAGGTGGTGACTCGGTACTTGAACAACACTTCGTTATCTCAAAACAATTTTTCCTTGACCAAAACTTAGTATTAATACCACTAGAGTTTAGTTTTAACGTTAATCGCGACTAATTAATAGTCTAACTATTATTACTATTATATAAGCGTTAAATAACACTCAATATAACTCATAATAGTAACCAAAATAATTATTTTAAGGTCCTAATAATGTTACTATAATTAAATAAAATCTATATTAAATATAGTATAGGCGTAACTCACTTACAACAGGTTTTTATTAAAAACCGAGTTTCGCTGGAGCAGCGTCTCCGAGCCAAAAGCTTTTCTTCTTGGAGCCGTCGGGCGCTTCGGGGCTTTCTTCTCGTGATAGGGAGGTTCCCTAGACTTGGGAGGGGTTTAGGGAGGTTAGAGAGAGAAAGAAAAGTTTGAAGGTGTGAGGAAATTATGAAGAGTTCATCTCTTATTTATAGGAATTGTATAGTAAAGTAGTCTCCAAGCTTCGTCCGTAAATTTTGCATACGAGCTCTCTTTTTGTCTGTCTTTTTACTGTTGATTTCCTATTAATGAGATCTTCAACTATCATTTAGACCTCGTTGGCTAATTCTCATTCTATCTCGGATTTACAAAACTGTATCGAATTCGCCGCACTCGAAAAGTAGAGATTAAGCTTCGTCCATAACTTTCGCATACGAGCTCCATTTTTGTTTGTCTTTTTACCATTGAATTCTTATTAATGAGATCTTCAACTCTCATTTAGACCTCGTTGGCTAATTCTCATTCTATCTAGGATTTACAAAACTGTATCGAATTCGCAACGCTTGAAGAGTAGGGACTAAGCTTCGTCTATATCTTTCGCATACGAGCTCCGTTTTCAACTGTCTTTTTATCGTTTAACTCCTATTAATGATATCTTCATTTATCGTTTAGATTATTTTGGCTAAAAATTGACTGATCTAAAATTCAGATTTCGGGCTGTGCAACTGCTATGCTAAAGATAAGAAAAATCATAACTTCCTCATACGAAGTCAGATTTGGATGTTCTTTTTATGAACACTATTAATTTAACATATACTATGACTTTCGTTTAGATCGCTAAGGCAAAATCTCTCTCTATCGTAAATTCACTATTTACGCCTCCCGGTATCGTGTCGGTTCCGTTGCGAAACTTCGACGAGTCATAACTTCTTCGTTATAACGCGGATTTCGATGCTCTTTATATGTACGAAAACCTTGTAACATATACTAAAACTTGGTTGAGATTATTTATTCTTAATAATCTTTTGTCAAAAAGTCATTTTCGACCCCTATTGCCTCTAAATTGACTAGCCCGGATCTAGGGGCGTTACATATGAACTCACCTGTAGTGAGTGGGTTGGATGAATGTATGGTATAGGATGCTAAGTGTCAAGTGAAGACTTGAGCACACACACAGATCCTATTCAACATATAATGACACATATATGTAACCAATTAGTCTTTAAACAACTAATTAACCAAGTAAAGACATCCTAGGACATGTAAAACACTTGTTTCAAGTGCTATAAGTACTAAGGATTGCATTTAAGGGTTGTAGGGCTTGGATATTGGGTTTAGGGTAAAAGGGTAAACTCTTTATGAGTTTATGGTTTTGGGACCAATTCCTTTGGAGTTTACGGTTGTAAACCCATGCTTTTACGGCCGTAAACTCATGGTACTTCTACCATTTTGTGATTTGAAGCTTTATAAGTCACAATGAAGCACCCTACCTCAAGTCTAAGCCTTAGGAAAGTGATAGTGGCATCATTTCACTCCTTTGTGGAGTTTACGGCCCAAAGACCATTTCTACTTGAGTTTACGGCCGTAAACTCTAATGGTTCTTGGTATTTTTGATGTTTTAAGTCCTATACACTTCAAGGATGGGATCTAGACTAGTATCCAAGGCTTGGTAAGGGACTAGGGCACATAATGGCCCTTTCATTAGGTTTTACGGTCCAAGAACATGTTGGACCGTAAACACCTTTGATCTTGTGATTCTTTGTGTTTTCTAGATGATTAAGAAGTGTAACAAGCCTTATAACAAGCCAAGGTAAGAGTACTTACTATGTAGAATCTTGAAAGGGTGTTACAAGTCCAAGAACACTAGTGTGTGTTCTTGGTGAAACTAAGAACACTTGAAGATCTACACAAATGGAATGATTTCATGGATGAAATCATGTAAGATCACTAGATTAAGTAAGATATCAACTTATTAGGGTAAGAAACACTTACAAAGTTGAAGATCAAGAAGGAAAGTCGGATGATACTTGAGAGGATTTGAGTTCTAGTTCTTGAAAGTGTGAAAAAGTGGTAAAAGTGGCTAGGTGCCATATATATATATATATATATATATATATATATATATATATATATATATATATATATATATATATATATATATATATATATATATATATATATATATATATATATATCTTAGGGTTTACAGCCGTAAACACCTTGTTTAGGCCGTAAAATCCAAACTCTTGGAGTTTTGGGAATTTATTGATGCACAATAAACCCTAGGGCATCCTCTCTCCTGTTATCTCTTGAAGTACTAACTTTAAAACACTCAAACTAACTCCAAAAAACATGAAAGTTAGCAGAAACAACTCTGACTTCTATTGAAGTGAATGGTTGTACATAATAGAAATTTCGGGTTGTCACATCATCCCCCCGTTAGAAGGAATTTCATCCCGAAATTAGAGTCTAAGAAAATAAGTAGTTACAAATAACTAAGCAAAAAGACGAGGATATTTCAGTTTCATCTGATCATCTCGCTCCCAAGTGAATTCAGGTCCTTGCATGGAATTCTAGGAAACCTTAACTATCGGGATTCGACTTTGCTTGGTTTGCTTGACCTCTCGGTTCATGATCTATACTGATTCTTCCACAAAGTTGAGGCTTTCGTTTATCTCGATCTCGTCGAGTGGGATTACAAGAGTCTCGTTGGACAGACACTTTTTCAAGTTCGAGACGTGGAAAGTAGAATGTACGTTACTGAGTTCACGTGGTAAGTTAAGTTTGTAAGCTATAGGGCCCATTCTGGCGAGAATCTCAAAAGGCCCTATGTACCTTGGATTTAGCTTTCCACGCTTTCCAAAGCGTATTAAGCCCTTCCAGGGTGATACCTTCAATAAAACACGGTCGCCCACCAGGAATTCCAAAGGTTTCCTTCGTTTGTCTGCGTAGCTTTTCTGTCGGTCTCTAGAGGCTTTCAATCGTTCATGAATCTGAACGATCTTCTCTATCATTTCCCTTATGATCTACGAACCGGTGAGAGTGCAGTCAGGAACTCGTCCTTTAGCTAACTGGGTATCACCCACCTTAGCCCAACACAGAGGGGATCTGCACTTTCGGCCATAGAGGGCCTCGAATGGAGCAACCTTTATGCTCGTGTGATAACTGTTGTTGTAGGAAAATTCGAAAAGGGGTAAATAAGTATCCCATGCTTTCCCAAAGTCGATCATGTAGGCTCGCAACATATCCTCTAAGGTTTGGATAGTCCTCTAACTTTGTCCGTCGGTCTGTGGATGATAGGCTGTACTCATGTCCAGCCTAGTTCCTAGGGAACTTTGTAGCGACTGCCAGAACCTCGACGTAAATCTACTATCTCTGTCTGAGATAATAGATATGGGAACACCGTGCAGTCTTATAATCTCCCTAATGTAGGTTCTTGTAAGCTTCTCCATACTGTCTGTTTCTTTGATAGGTAGGAAGTGCGCGGACTTGGGCAATCTGTCGACGATGACCCATATGGTATAAGTCCACCCGTTGTCTTGGGCAACTTGGTTATGAAGTCCATAGTGATCCGCTCCCACTTCTATTCCGGTATCTCCGGCTATTGTAGAAGACCTGAGGGTTTCTGGTATTCGACCTTGACCTTGGCGCAAGTAAGGCATTTACTCACGAAGGTAGTGTCACACCCCAAAACCGGAATGTCGGAATCATTCGGGGGTGGAGGACGTCATGTACAGTATCACAACAATGCATAGTAGTAAACAAACAACAACATCATCCATTTCATTAATAATATAATTTAATACAAGTGTGTTCTATCAAGTTAAATAGACACCAACACTACAAGAAAAATAGCCTTTAATGACACGCAAACAATGACACTCGCTGATTCACGTTATGCATTGTTGGGCGACCTTAAAAATAATGTCAGACTTCCAAAATTTGAAGGATAGTGGACACGCATTTTTGCGTGCCCTTAAATTAGTATCTCAAGAAAAAAAACACGGAGGGTGCTTTATCTTAAACGTGCGTCTTCTGTAGGTTTCGCTTTATAATTTTAGTGAAACGCGCCTTGAAAAGATAAAGGGGGAAAACGAAACCCTAAAATTTTGAAAGCCCGCCATTCTTTTCTACCTTCTTTTCTTCATCTTCATAATCGACTCTCCCCTTTTGTTTCTCTATGTGAGAACTGACAAAAAGAAGGGAGACTAGGATGGATCTGCCGGTGATGATGAATGAAGGTGCTTTCTGTTCAATTTCGGAGATGGCATTGACGATTTCGATGGTTGTTTCCCTCTTCCCTAATCACGTCGTCGCCGAGAATCACACACCGCCAGGTAGTAGAAGAAGATGATGAAGTTTGTCGTTGTCGTATGCCGCCCTCCCTCGCTGTCTCTAACTATCTTTGCCCTTTCTTTATTCTTCGCTTCGATGATCGTCTCATCTTCCTTCATCTTCTCGGTTTTCCATAAGGTAATATTCGGGTTCGCTCGTGATGCTGAACTTCATAAAAGAGTTCTTCTCCGGTCTTAGCATCTTCCCGGGTAGCTGAACTTCTGTCATCGCTTGGGATCGATCTCAGCCTCCTATTCATTCCTCTACAACCTTACATGTAAGTCCACACCACACTTGTTCTTATCTTTTTCTGGAAAATCAAGAAACATTCGAAAAACCTTTGGGTTTCGCTTCTTATCATCGGTGAGGTCGCGTTTCTTCTTATCAGTACTAGGGTCTCGTTTCTTTTCATGGGCGATGCCTCGTTTCTTCTTATTAGTATCGGATTTCTTCTTGGCTGAGGGGCTAGATTGAAGAGAAATTATTAATGCCCTTAAACTGTTCGACAAATTGCTTATCATTTTGTGTGCGTCTATCTGTCTATGAAATTAAACAATACGCATACACAATTACACACTATCCTAATTTCATAACTTGACTGATTTCCTATCCTAATATGATAATCTCTCTCCTTTATGAAACACGAAAGATCTCTTTCAGGTCTTGGAACCAAACGGGTCAGCTTAATTGGGCTTGGAAAAGCCCCAATAACTTCATCTTCTTCCATTTCTGCTTATCGAAGTCTTGGTGAATCTGTTGCTTCATCTGCTAAAACTTCTCAAGCTAACAATGTCGTTGTTGCTCTTGCTTCTTCACAAGACTTAACTCTTGAATTGAAGCTTACAACTGCCTCAACAATAGTAACTGGTATATTCCATTCAATATTCCATTCAAGAAATAACAACCTGAATGCTCAAATTGTGATCTAAGTATTGCTTACAGATTCATACTATACTAAGATGATTATGGTGAGATATAAAATAGTTTTTTTTGGTCATATTAAGGTTATTAAAGAAGTTAGCACCAATCTTTTTTTTTTCTAGAGAATTATAGTGTTATCTTTTGTTTAATTGTTCGGTTGCAACACTGCTTATACAGCAGCACAAGCTTCTGTTAATAAGGCTTGAAGATGCCTTTAGAAATAGCAAAGATAGCCATTTGAAGGATTTTACCTCCAAAAATCCTTATACAACAGCACAAGTTTCTGTTAATAAGTCTTCTCCTGAGATGCCTTCATCTTCTAACAACTCAAATCACAATGTTCAACAAGCCAATGGCTCAACATACACAGAGCATGTTTGCTCAGGGGTAATTTTAGGAAAAGATCTTGTAAATGCACCTCGCAATGTACTTACCCCTGGTTCGTTATCCTTCTCATTTTCAATTGTTGATAGAGACATAGAGTTAAAATATAGTTTTTCATTTTTCGTTTTTAATAATTGTAACAGGGGTATTAGCGGAAAAAGCTGAAAAGATTGCTTCAACAATCGATTGTGATAAGTTATCTGATATAGGGTTTGGGACAACAGATTGTTTGGGACATGTTGCCCTTGTAACCGAGCTCATGAAGAAGACAAAGCTAAAACTTAAATCCAGTGTGGTTGCTGTTTTCATAGCCAGTGGAGACATATTTGGAATTCTTCTTCCATTTAGTGTGTCTGGCAGTGGTGGTTGGAAGAGTGTTGGTCTCTCCTTTGGGAACTTCCTGACTTTCTGTTTCTGAAGTTCCCAAGAAAATAGTAGATTTGGAGGGTTTGAGTGTCTCCATAATGGAATGTTAATAAGAGTCTTGGATGAGTCCATCATCAGCAGCAAACACAAAGTCCTTTTCCATGTCTTGAGCAGATTCCATACCAGTCTTTGTGAATTGGTCCAAAGACTTCTCACAATGGATGGCAAGCTCAATGAGTTTATCCGTGGTCTGGACCCTCTCTTCCTCTTCCCTCTTTTGTTGCTCCTCATGCAACATTCCCACTAATTCCTTTCGCTCCTCTTCTTTCTTTTCCTCAGCCTCTCTTAATTCACTAAGAACCAGTTGCAATTGCTTGGTGGCAATTTGTTCATTCTCAGAAGCGTTCTTCTCCAGCCCTTGTATAGTTTCATCATTGTTTATTAGAGCTTTGTTTTTCTCTCTTTCCTTTTTCTCTCTCTTCTTCTCAGCCTTTAGCTCATTCTCTTTCCTCTTACTCTCTTTCACAACCCTCTGAATAAGCTCTTTTCTAACCCTTCTCCCTTCTTCCTGTTCCACAGCTTTCAATTTCATCAATTCTTCTTTTGTCTTCTCATCTCTTAGTCTCTTCTCTTTTAACATTTCCTTATTCAAGTCTATATGAGCATTTCCCTCTTTCTCCTCTCTTTGACTTTGCCTCTCCTGGTCATCTCGTGTTTCCCTCATTGGAGCATCAGACTCTTGGCCTGGGATATGTGAGTGTGTCCCTGGGGGCTGCTCATGACTTTTTTCGACACCCACATCTTCCTTTTGAGAGGAAGGGGGTTGTGTATGTGTTATATTCCAATGTTTTTGCGAGTCATCATCTTCTTTAAAGGATGAAGAGGTAGATGATTGTTTGGGACATGTTTCCCTTGTAACCGAGCTCATGAAGAAGACAAAGCCAAAACTTAAATTCAGTGTGGTTGTTGTGTACAAGAATGTGGTGTGAGATAAACTCAACGTCTCTATTGCTGTGATGTGACAACTATTACTACTGGCCAGTATCAGAAGGTATAATGTTCTTTTTTTTTTGGTCAAATTTATCGTTTGATTAAGAAATCACGATTCCACATAAAACTCTTATTAAACAAACAAATAATCCTTTTTATCTATATCTAACTAGTTACTTTATGAGATAAAAAATAGTAAACAAATAATCCTTTTTTATCTATATCTAACTAAAGCTTTTTTTGGCCTTCCATCCAATAAGTTCTTAAAGGAATCAGTTTGTACTTTTGATTTTCATAACAATCTCTATCGTAGTCCCAAGTAAAATGACTTGATTTCCCTTCATATAGCCAGTCTGACTTTTACCTCCAACTTTAAATCTTTTTCTGTTTTGCTAACAACTCATTTGCAATGGTCATAAACTGATTGAAAATCATTTAGAGCAAAAAAAGGTGTCGTATATTGTTTAGTTTTCCATGTTAAAAGATTTTTGTAAGTATTGCTTTTTTTTAAATCTTTGTCAGAAGACGATGTGACATCTCTTTTGATCAAAGATGCCAAAAGTGTAAAGCTTTGGTCTCCTAAAATGTGTCTGGTCATCAGATTATAGTCGTTGAATGAAAGTAGAGGTATGATCTTTCCTCTCTAAAACTGTGACATAACTTTATTTCTTTTGTGTGGGTTATTATTCTTTATCAGTGTATATATGGTATGTTTCAGTAATCCTTATCGAGAATCAGGTTTTGCAGATGTTAAGTGGCTAAAGTCAAACAAGATGGGTATTATAGTTCTTATTTCTTTCTATTAAAAGATATATAGGAGTAGTTTGTCCCATCTCATTTAATGTTATTCTTCGGGAATCTACTGATGAGGCTCCAACTGATCCTGTATCAGACCCAATTGAAACTAGAAGCAATAATAATTATTATTTTCAACAGTTTCTTCAAGCTATACAAACCCTAAAATATTGACAATTGAAGGTGGAAGCAATGGTAGCCTACTTGTTGGAGCTTTCATTAATAAGGTATTATGCTAATTCAATAATATTAAAATCTTTAATAAGTTATTCCTAAAAGTTGATTTTTTTTGTTATGACAGAGGCCTGATTTATTTGGGTGTGCACTTGCTCATGTTGGCGTAATGGACATGCTCAGGTTTCATAAGTTCACAATCGGCGAGTAATTTTTTTTTAACTAATTTAGTTAAAATTACAAATGTACCCTTGTGACATGGTTTTTCTTTTCTTTTTTTGGTAGGTCATGCGTGGACTTCTGACTATGGTTGTTCAGACAAAGAAGAAGAGTTCCAATGGTTGATCAAGTGAGACTAACATTATCTTATCTTGATTAAATTCTCAATTTTTATTCAAAATATTAATTAGTTATTTACTAATAATAACTTAAAAAAAAACATTTTCATCAGGTATTCGCCACTGCATAATGTGAAAAGACCATGGGAGCAATCTTCTATAATTCCCGACAATACCCTCCAACTTTATTGTTAACAGTTGATCATGATGACAGAGTTGTGCTGTTTCACACTATGAAATTATTAGCTGTAAGTATTTCATTTGAATTGTGTTTAATATAATTAAAAGAGTATTTGTTTATTATATTTGTTTTATGTTAGACGATGCAATATGTGTTGTGACAAAGATACTGAATTATTGATATTTGTAGGTATGAGCCTCTAGGGTATATGCTTGGGTCAGAATATTTCTTCATATGTTGCAAGCTTATGGTCCAATTTATGCTCTCTATGTAGATGTTGCGAGCTTGGTTGCTCTTAGGAACAACAGGCAATGTATTCACATTTTCACTTACCATATTCATATTTGTAGTATAAGATATCTTTGTGTTACTGTTTTATTAAAATATTCTATCTATCAGTTTCCCGATGTTCAACAATGAGGATGTTACTATCGGTGCATGGATGCTTGCAATGAATGTCAACCATGAGGAAAATCATCAACTTTTTCAAACCGAATGTACACCAACATCTATAGCTGTGTGGGATCTCCCCAAGTGTTTAGGTTAGTATTTTTTTTTCTCCTAAACAATCTTCTTTAACTTTTTGAGAAATCCAACTTAGATTTGATGTGTGTGATGAATATTTGATGTTGTAGGGCTTTGTAACTTTTTCTCTTAAACCTACCGTATATATTGACATGTAGCTGATTACACATTAATTTAATTATGCAGGTTTTGAAATTTTTCATGGAAAAGAATAATTTTAATGCTCTTCATAGAAAAGTATGTTGGTATTTTAGGAAATTTGGCTAATACTTTAGTTAATTATATAAAAAATGTTGAAATGTTACATTTGTCTACTATTGGAATGATTATTTGATGCTATTGGAATGATTATTTGTATGACATTAACTTTTGTGCAATGTATTGTATTTTTTGTATATGGAATTTTATTTTCTATTATGAGACATGAAATTCAAATTTAATTTGAAAACCAGTAAACCTATAAATAATTTTTTTTTTAAAAATTATAATTACGATACGCAAAAATGTGTGTCGTCTTCATTTATGACATGGCCTTTCTTGACAGGGGCTTCCTTGATACGCATTGCGTGTCATAAACACGCGCGTTGTAATGTTACGACATGCAAATGCGTGTCGTCTTCCTTTATGACAGGGCCTTCCTTGATACGCATTGCGTGTCATAACCGCGCGTCGTAAATGCGCGTCGTCTATAGACGACGCCTAAAAGTGCGTCGTCTCTCTTTATGACAGGGCCTTCCTTGACGAGCATTTGCACGTCGTCTGAGCGTTTTACGACGCGCAATGAGCATCGTAAAAGGCTGTTTTTCTAGTAGTGCAAAACATAAATCAAAATAAAAGATGAGTCTTT